ATTAAACATGATGGTACTTTGTATTTAATTAAGACTTTTTCAGTAAAAATCATAACTCCTATAAAATATGTTTTGACTAGATTTTATAAAAATATATTGTTTATTAAATGGTTTTTTTTTTCCTGGTGAGTAGTGTTTTGGGACAAAGAAGTATTGGTGGTCTTGTAAGAAAAATGGTTGAGACATAGCCTCGTTCGTTTCGCTGATTCGAGTTTAGAATTCGAATTTTGCTACAGTAAAAGGCTCTCACAAACAGTCACATCTAACTTTTTTACTACAGTAAAAAGCTCTCAGATAAAATCACATCTCAACTCGAATTCTAAACTCGAATCAACGAAACGAACGAGGCGTAATCTACTAATTTATCAGTTTTTGAGGTTGGCAATAATTATACCCATTATTATTGTCATTGTTATAGATTGTCTAGTTATATATTCTGAAGAATTGCCTACAAAATGAAATGAAATATCAACAGATGGGTGACAATATATGTTTGTGTACATCAAGAAAGACATCTTCAATAGTCTCCATAATAAAGACGTATTCTACAACAATTAAAACATGAAAGACATCTTCAATAGCCTAGATAATAAAGTATTATACAATAATTAAAACATAAAAAACCATTGATTCTTAAACGTCTATTGTATTTATTAATTTTGTAATTAATAAATAAAGACTTCAAGAAAGACATCTTCATAGAAATTGTATTTATTGATTGAAATTTTTTTCTTAAATGTCTGTTGTAGTTATTAGCCTATTTGACAAAAAATCATGACTTCGTCACTGCTCTTATATATCCTCCTTTTTTTTTTTTTTTTGTTCTTTTCTCACTCCAAGCTCTTAAGATTTGCAACCTTAGGTCGAATGAAGCATTATGCTTCCTAGGATGGGCCACCCTTATCTGGTGGTACGGCGAATTGACATATTCTCCATGCGACAATTCACCCATACAATTGCTCTTGTCACAAAACCCACATGTTTTCTTGCTCACGTTTTAGATGTGAGTTTGGTCTTGAATGAGTGCTGAGTTTGGATTTACATTAGATTTCATAACTATATATATAACTAAAAAACCAATAATCTTTACATACTTGGGCTACTAAATGAAGTACGTGTTGCGATCACGAAAGACGTTTGATTCATAGATTTAGAATTACGATTTAAAATTATTCTCGATTTACGTATATTTTTTATGAGAGAAAATATTATAACGAGTAACGAATTATGATCCGAATCATGATACGAATCTACCAACTAAACGCACACACTAAAAGCATAAAAGGATAAAAAAGTGACTATGCGTTCATGGGCATGCGAGTTCAATGTTTGGTAGATTCTTGGAAGTGATATTGGTTGAATATTTAATCGGATGGATAATATGCAAATAATTAATGCCTCAGAGGGGACCAAAAAATGAAGAAGATTCCGTGAATATTAATCACGATGATGATAACCATGGACCATTGCCATATATTGCATAAAACAGGGCGGTGCACTACCATTTCAATTATCATGGAAAAATGTGTCTTCAAAGCATGGAAACAATCACCCTTGCTTTCAATAAATCATCTGTGGCCTATTTTAAGAAATCACCAGATTTGGAAGCTGTTGGTCCCACGTAATACTATTGGCTAATTGCCGATCAACCTAGTCGGATAAGCCTGCGGCACTAATTAACCTTATTTCTGATCAATACTTTTAAAAATCCAATCATCTAAGGTTCATCTGCGTCCTTCACGAATTATAAACACGTAAAATTGAGGAATACATTGCTCTATTTATCAATGACTTTGAAAATGTGTAATTCTTATCAACGATATTAGTAAATTTCTTGTTGTTGCATATTTTTAACGTCATTTTTCATAAGCCGTGCCACAAAATTAAATGACAAAGGGTGAGTATATGATTTTAGATTTTTATGGATGAAAAACATATATAATTTAGTATTTTTTGAAGAGCAGGCGATAAATTTTAAATGAAAGGAAAAAAAATCAGGTGTGGTAGCCGTGTAACTCCATCTTTGATTATATTAAATAAATGTTACTTTTATAATCTTCTCCTTTCACATATTATGGTGTCTCACATGTTAGGGTGAGAGACGGTCCTTCTAAAAATACTTTAACCTTTACTTTAAAAGTTTTTTTTTTTTTTTTTTTTTTTTTTTTTTTTTTTTTTTTTTCAAGAAGGAAATTGTATTTAAACAAAAATTGAGAAACATACAACCCGATACAATGATAATAACCCATTGAAGGCACAGACGCACGTCTGAGGCCCAAAAACGGGAGAAAACCTTGGTACACTAATAACAAACACATTTAAGGCTCTAATTGAAGAAATCCCACCCACTGAGATAGACTTCCGAGCTCTGGACAGACAGATCACTAACCCCCTATAATGAGAGGACATCAACAATACGACATAGAAAAAATTCTAACCGAACCAAAAAGTCCACACAATCAGAAAGCATACAAACGACCTTAAGCCGATGACTGAAAACTAGCTTCTAATAACAAAATAAAAGAAAGTCAGGTGGGGAAACCACCGACCTTATTACAATCATAGAAATTTTGACACAAAAACTAGAGAAAATCAAAGATATCAAAGCAACAAGAACAAGTCCCTTAGCATCTGAAATCTGAAAAGAACTTATGAAATGGCGCCCAAAAAAGCCTCCCAAGGTGGCACCGAAAGTACTTGAAACTCAGCTGGGGCACACGTGCCTCCGCTGACCCGCGGCGATTGACATACGCATCAGAGCACCTTCTTCGCCTCCCTCCCACAATCTAGTTCCTAGAGTTTCAACGGGATCCCGCGGCGGATGCATCCTTGGTCTACGGCAAAAGATCGGCAGCCTCTTTCTTTTGAACGGCTTCATTCTGGTGGCTACCCACACTTGCATTGGCACCAACACGTCTTTAGTGACCACTACAATTTTCCTGTTGAGATTTGGAGGCCGACAGCCCGGTGAAAAATTAGACCACTAACCCCAAAACTCAAAACTCTTGTGAAACTCTCAGAAGCTCTCTCACTGACTTTCACACTTTAAACTGATCATTTTGCCTTAAAAGATCATATTAATGATCAAAGACTCGTTTTTTAAGTGCTTAAATGAAAACAATACCTTCTTTATTGGCACATATCGCGATTCTCTTTGATCAATTATAGCGGAAGTCATGCCGCTATAGTTAATAAATTCCAATAATCATTTTTTGTCCAAACATCCTTCGATTATTAAAGGAGGGAGAGAAAAGTTTTGTGTCATGCAAATTGTGCAGCCATTATTTTCTAGATATGCCCTATCAACTTTCTTCCGTGATGCAAAGGCCCCTCATAGAAATTTATCTTGTTTGATTATGATATACTTTTTCTGAAACGCAAGGAAAAGAAATGAAAAAGAAAAAGAAAGGGCTGGTTGTTAGTACTCTTTCATTAACTTTCACGTTCTGTGAATGTGATCCTTCTGCTCGGCCATTAAACCCCTAAAGTCCTTGTTTTCAGCTGAAATGAAACTGTACTAATAGCCTCAGAGGTTACTGGAGAAAGGGTCAATGGGGCCAACTTGTCTGATACGTAACTTATCATGAGAACTACATGGTCTTGTTTGATTAGGACATACGTTAACCATACACATAGTTATATATTGTTCATTTAATTAATTACTAAAAATTTTGTTCCTTATACGAGTTTGTTTTTTTTTTGGGGGGGAGGGAGAGGGGGTGAAAACGTCTTTCTCTTTGTACGACAGTCGTTTATTCATGTGTTTTTCAATATTATTCATATAATTATTCATTGCATATGTGCATGATAGTCATTTAGTGTCATATGCTTAAAATGACTTCTGATTATCAAAATAGTAACCGTTAAGACTTAATATAAGAGAATTACATTAATCTTTCAGCAGATTATGATGGCACACGGAGGACAGATTCAGTCATTTACAAAGTGAAGGGATATAGCCAGGTCCAAATAAAAATATGGAGAAGAAAAAAGAAAGAAAGAAAGAAAGAAAAGGGAAAGCAACAAAAGATTCAAATAGGTACACAACAGGAGAAAGTAGGACAGAGATAAAAGTGATGATTCTCCCAACTTCTCTTTTAAGTTAAATCAAATTTTGCTTTTGCTTTTTCAAGTTGTGGTCTAAAAGCCAGAAGGGGTGGAAAACGGTGATCCCACAACAGTACTAGTGGTACTAGCTAGGCTTATTCCGATCCCCAGCCAAAAAAAAAAGTCGCTTTAGTCCCACATCCTCACCTAAGGAATCCACCTAAAAAGTCACAACAACAATTGGAGGCATTTCATTTATTTATAAATGCCCTAATTTCATGTGTTCTTGGCTGATCACTCTTTATTGTTAAACTGCAAAAGGACGACAAAACACACTCATTTATTCCGTTGACTAATGTCAACACTCTCACATTCTTCTTTCTCTCTCTCTCTCTCTCTCTCTGTTTTTTTTCATGAATAAGTTTTTTTTTAAAATTTTTTTAAGGTGGTGTTTTACATCTTTTCATTAGTGTGACATGATGATAAAATGAAATAGAAGAAATCCACTAATATAGTGGAATCATGCTTACGTAATGGTATAAACATGATTGGTGAGGTATGATTTTGGATATATTATGTTGATCCAAAAAGCTAATTATACTATACAACCGGATTAGTGAAAGTGATTCGGATTAAAACCCCCTCACCCTCAACTGTTTCAGATTCAAAATCTCATGTCCTTTTTTACTCTGTTTGAAATGTATTCCATTCCAAAAGAAAGCAAAAGTGAGGTCTCTTGCGTAATTTTGACCTCCAAACCAAAAGTAAGCAAAAGTATATAAACATTGGTTGATCAAACGGTCTGTTGTTATCAATATTTTTGTTAGAACATAACCCTTTTTTTATTTATTTGGCCCTTTCTTTTTTCCCTTTTCATAAAGTTAAAGATGAATCCATAATATATTGTGATGGAGAGATATAGATAGAGATAGAAAGAGAGAGAGAGAGAGATAGGGAGAGTTACTTTGGATGCTGTTAATTATAAGGAACTCTGCCTTGTATAACTCACATTTCTATATGCATGTCCAAACCATTTACCAAAAAAAAAAAAAAAAATGTTGGCTCTTTTTCTTTACTCTTACAAAACCAATTGGTTTTCATAGAACCAAACCCATCTTTTCTTTGAACTAGAACAGATTGTATTTTCTACTCTTCAACCATGAAGTTAATCTTTTATCATCATCATCTCATAACTCTCGTGTTTTTCTTTATTTCTTGCTTTTACTCTGTTTCTTCTTCACACAATCTTTCTCTCAATAGCCAAGCTTCAATCCTTGTCTCTCTTAAACAATCTTTTCAAACCTCCAACACTTCTTTTGATGCCTGGCAAGTGTCAAACCACTCTTTCTTTTGCTCTTGGCCTGGAATCCAGTGTGACAAGAACAACAGATCAGTCGTTTCAATTGACATATCCTCTTCGAACATCTCCGGGTCACTCTCGCCCGCCATCACGCAGCTACGAACACTTGTCAGCCTCTCACTCAACGACAACGTTTTCTCCGGCGATTTTCCGAACCAAATTCACAACCTACAAAGGCTCCGGTTCCTCAACATGTCTAACAACCAGTTTAGTGGTGAACTAAACTGGGATTTCTCCAAGTTAAGACAACTTTCTGTTCTTGATGCCTATGACAACAACTTCAATGGCTCGCTTCCTTTAGGCGTCACGGAGCTTCCCAAGTTGAATTACTTGAACTTTGGCGGGAACTACTTTTCGGGGTCGATCCCGAGGGGCTATGGAAGTATGAAGCAGCTCAACTATCTTCACCTTGGAGGGAATGATCTGAGAGGTTTCATACCAAGTGAGCTTGGTAATCTCACAAGCCTTCAGCAGCTTTACTTGGGCTATTACAATGATTTCGACGGCGGGATTCCGCCTGAGCTTGGTAAGCTGATCAATCTGTTCCATTTAGACCTTGCCAATTGTAGTTTGGAGGGTACAATACCTGAAGAACTTGGGAATCTTAACAAGCTTGACACTCTCTACCTGCAAACAAATGAGCTCAGTGGGACCATTCCTTCCCAATTCAGCAATTTGAGCAGGGTGAGAATATTCGATCTTTCGAACAACGAATTGACAGGAGAGATCCCGATTGATTTCTCGGGATTTACGGAGCTTACCCTCTTGAACTTGTTCATGAACAAGTTTCATGGTGAGATCCCGCATTCCATTGCTGAGCTACCTAGCTTGAAAGTTTTCAAGCTTTGGCAGAACAATTTCACCGGCACAATCCCTTCAAAGCTTGGCCAAAATGGTAACCTGACCGAGTTCGATTTGTCAACCAATAAGCTCACCGGGATGATTCCTAAGTCTCTGTGCTCTGGAAGAAAGCTGGAGATTTTGATTCTGCAGCACAATTTCCTGTTCGGGCCGTTACCGGATGATCTTGGCCGATGTGACACGCTTGTAAGAGTACGGCTGGGGCAGAACTATTTGACAGGAGCTTTGCCAAATGGTTTTCTGTACTTGCCTCAGCTATTACTCGTGGAGCTACAGAACAACTATCTTAGTGGACAACTTGAGCAAGTGAAAATTAAGGTACCCTCAAAACTTTCGCTGCTTAATTTGTCTATCAATCGCTTATTCGGTTCGATTCCTGCCTCTATTGGCAATTTCACTAGCCTGCAGAATGTCCTATTGAGTGGAAATCGATTCACCGGTGAAATCCCATCGGACATAGGCCGGTTGAAAAGTGTCCTGAAATTGGATCTCAGTAGGAACAAATTCTCAGGCAGAATCCCTCCCACAATAGGAAATTGCGTCTTGTTGAATTATTTAGATTTGAGCCAAAACCAACTTTCAGGCCCGATCCCGGTTCAGATTGCGCAAATTCACATTCTAAACTACCTCAACGTCTCATGGAACCACTTAAGCCAAGGCCTTCCCAAGGAAATTGGATCGTTGAAGAGCTTAACTTCAGCGGATTTCGCTTACAACAACTTGTCCGGTTTAATACCCCAAACTGGCCAATATCTCTACTTCAACTCCACATCTTTTATCGGTAACCCTGAGCTCTGCGGTTCGGGAGCCTCAATATGCAACCGCACGTCATCCTCCCGACGGGATGGTCACAACGAAAACGATACCAAGCCTCATGTGTCTGCAAAGTTCAAGCTCATTTTCGCCTTGGGACTCTTGGTGTGTTCGTTTATTTTCACGACTTTTGCGGTCATCAAGACGAGGAAGTCGAGAAATGGTGGCAGCAAATGGAGGCTCACCGCGTTCCAGAAGCTAGAATTCAGAAGCCAGGACATCCTGGAATGCATAAAGGACAACAACGAGATAGGGAGAGGTGGGGCCGGGATTGTGTATCGAGGAACAATGCCGAATGGAGAACAAGTAGCAGTGAAGAAGCTGTTGCGAATAAACAAAGGCTCTTATCATGACAATGGCTTATCAGCGGAGATTCAAACACTTGGCAAAATCAGGCACAGAAACATTGTTAGATTGCTAGCTTTCTGCTCCAATAGAGAGACCAATTTGCTCGTTTATGAGTACATGCAAAATGGGAGTTTAGGAGAAGTTCTGCATGGAAAAGGAGGTGGTTATCTCAAGTGGGAAACTAGGCTGAAAATAGCCATTGAAGCAGCGAAAGGGCTCAGCTATTTGCACCATGATTGTTCTCCTCTAATTCTCCACAGAGATGTTAAGTCCAACAACATTTTGCTCAACTCTGATTATGAGGCTCATGTCGCAGATTTTGGATTGGCCAAGTTTTTGCAAGATAATGGAACATCAGAGTGCATGTCTGCCATCGCTGGCTCATATGGCTATATTGCTCCAGGTATATATATATATATATAT